TTTTTTTTTGGTTTTTGAGGGGTGTCAGTATGTAGCCCAGGCTGGCCTCAAATTTGCAGTGATCCTCCCGCCTCAGCCTCCCAAGTGCTGGGATTACAGGTGTGTACCACCACACCCAACTGAAAAGAAGTGTCTTTTTTTGAGATGCTGGGGGTAAAATCCAGAGACAGGTGAGCTACCTACAGCCCCAGCCCCAAGAAGTCATTCTTCAACATTTGTTTCTATCATTCACTGAATTTTATTAATCTTAATTTGCTTCCAGTTTTCTTTTCCAGAAACTTTATATATGACCCTCACATAAATGTCATAGAAATGTTAAGATGTCTCCTGGCTACTTTTAAAAAAAATGTAAAATCAAAACACTCTTTCTATATTATCTTAAAGGAAATAACAGTAAAAATGAAATTACCTTTCCTTAATTTTTGTGTTTCTGAAACTCCTTTCCTCCAACTATTCTCAAAAAGAAAACCACCCTCCAGGGAGCTTCTGGTGATCCTAGAAGTCTCAGTCTTCATCTCGGGGGCTAGCACTGACATTTTCTCTTCTTTCAGCAGTGCTGGTGGAAATGACAGTCTGTATCAGATCGAGGACACAAAACACAAAGAAAACAAGACATTGCTTGTAAATATCTCTTCCCATTCGCTTTTCATCACACAGATTAAATTTTAACTTAGACTTACTTATAACATGTAAATACACAGTCTTAGCATTTTAAAACAAGAGGCTTTTACAAATAAATTAAAAATAGTGTGGGAAAAGAGAAGGGAAAGAAGGGGGAATTACGTAAGTATGTACACACAGGGTAGCTAACATAGTTGTACTACTGTCTTCTATTGCTCCACAGAAAGGAACAGTTAATGATTGCTTGTTTGATCCACCTTGCTTGTCTCTATTTGTTTTCTTGAGAAGCCACTCTGAAGATATCAATAAGTAATACAGCAACCATGGTTAATTTCCTACAACTTTCTGTAACTCTGTTCTGTTTGTATTGCTCTTATGCTATTTTGTAAATGGATGTCTGTTTGTTAATAGGTTTTCCTTCTTTTTTTTTTAAATACAAAAAAGAATAAAGTAAAAATGTGTAGCCAGGATTTTTAAATTGTAAATACTGTAATATTTTCGTGAATTACTTCAGATTCCAAGTTACAGATATTTGGTAATACAAACAAATGTAAAATCCAGCAGGCTATCATTTGCAAGACGATACAATGCTCTCAGAAACACTATTATAAAATGCATTTACGCATTAACAAAAAGGCAAATTCCATGCTGTATGGAAAACGAGCGTTCTCAAAATAGCCATTATTTTTATTCTAAATACAGACCCAGAAGAATAATTAATCACGTGTCCTACTTACTTCACACATTAAATATATTCAATCTGACCATATATATTAAGCGTCTGTTACATGCAAAACATTGCTAGGAGCAGAAGCCGCCCCTACCCTCAGGGGTCCAGCGGGAACAGCAAACAACAACACCGCAGTCACGACTTATTAAACCCCTGCGAACCCCTGCCGGCTGCTTTCTATCCAGTTGCTGCAGTCTTCACAACAAAAGGGTCAGGGGTGGTCAGGTCCTGCTATGCTCATTCGCTTGTACAGAACAAATTATTTGCTGAGGGCAGTCTGAACCCAGAACGCGTGGGCACTGGAGTGTCGTGCTAAACAAGCAGTGCCTGCGTCCAGTAACGGAAACGCGGCTGAAGAAACGGGTAGTACAGTTAAGTGAGGTCTGTGCTGGAGAAAAACACAAAGCAAACCAGCGCTAGGGAGCCCGCAGGAGAGACCCTACCCCGCACTTGGGCGCTAGAGGCTTTCCAGAGGAAGAACACAAGCAAGGTTTGGGATTTAGATCAGTGGCAGAGTGCATGCCTGGCAATTGCAAGGTTGTGAGTTTGATTCCCTGTACCGCATAAAAAAAAAAAAAAATGCTGGAGCAGGCAGCTTGCAGAGAGGAAGAGCTGGGATGTCTTTTAATCCTAGCGGGCAGGGTTCGTGACCCTGGCCCAGGCTTCTGCCTTGTTAATTTTTTAATGATTATTCTTTTTTATTAGCACGGTTGTCGTACATGATTACACTCGTCGAGGGCAGGTGACGCATGTACACAACACATCTTAATTCTTGTTTGCGTCCCCCGCCCCTCAGCCCTCCCTGACCCAACTCCCCCACTTACACAGGCTCTGTTTCCAACGTTTTCATTCCTTTTCCTCTCCACTCTCGTCCCTCCCTCTTCCTCCCTCCGGCTCTTGCTCCCGTCCCATTTGAAAGAAATCTTCCTCTTTCCCATTCTCTATCTTTTGTTTTGCTCTTTGTTTATGTCTTAGGTGTTTCATGTAAAAGAACCCATGTGATATTTTAGCTTCGTATGTGCACTTAACATTATGGTCCTCCAGGTGCATCCATTTACCTATAAACGCCTCAAATTTGTCCTTTTTTATGGCAGAGTAGTACTTCATAAATCCCACATTTTCTTTATCCATTCATCTGTTGACGAACATCTAGATTGCTTCCAGGATTTAGCTATCATAAATTGTGTGGTTATAAACATGGGTATGTACACATCAGTGACTTTAACTCTTTTGGGAAGATACTTAGGAGGGGAACAGCTAGGTCACAGGGAATCTCTGTTTTTTTTTTTTATTTCGTTTTTGTTTTTTGTTTCTTGAGACAGGCTCTCACTCTGTAATTAGGCTGGCCTTGAATTTGCAGTGATCGTCCTGCCTCAGCCTCCCGTGTGCTGGGATTACAGATGTGCACCACCACGCCCAGCTGCTTGCAGTTTTCCGAAGCATCTCCATAGTGACTGCACTAGTTTACATGCCCACCAGTGCAGAAGTATTCTTTTCCCCCCAGAGCCTCATCAGCATTCGTTATTACTGGATTTCTTGATGATAACCATGCTTTCTAGAGTCAGGTGATAGCTCAGAGTTGTTTTATTTTGCATTTCTCTAATAGCCAGCAACATCAAACATTTTCTCATGCATTTAATGCACTAAATGCCTTCCTTCCGAGGCATTTAGTGGCCATCTGTACTACTTCTGAGAAGTGTCTGTTCATTTTGGTTGCTCTTGTTTTATTGGCCATTTATTTGTGGGCGTCTAATCTTTTCGAGTTCTTTCTAGTATATTGTAGGTGTTAGTCTTCTGTCCAAGGAACAGTTGGCAACATGCTCTTCCCATTCTGTGGGTTGTCTCTTCACTCTGTTGGTTGTTTCCTTTGATGTGCACAGTTTTAAATTTTGATCTAATCCTGTTTGTTAGTTCTCAGTATCATCTCTTGTGCCATGGAAGGGGGCTCTGTTCAAAGAGTCCTGGCCTGTGCCTTCAAGAGTTTTACCTGTTTCATCTTCCAGCGGATCAAGTGCTTCTGCTTTAACATTTATGTCTTTGATCCATTTTGATTGTGGTTTGGTACCTGGTGAGGCGTGCAGGCCTAGACCTAGTCTTCTGTATGTGGATATCAAGTTTTCCCACCACTATGCAGTAAAGAGGCTGTCGTCCCTCCAGGGTACTTTTTTGGCCCCTTTGTCAAAGATCAAATAGCTGAACGGGTCTGGAGCTGTTTCCGCTTCCCCTCCTCCCTTCCGTAGATTCTTACGTCTGTTTTGTATCAGTACCGTGCTGTTTTTATCACACTAGCTTTGTACTAGAACCTCAGATCTGGGCTTGTGGTGCCTCCTGCTTTGCTTTTGTCACCTGGGATTGCTTTTGCTGCTCTGCGTCTCTTCTGGTTCCGTCTGAATTTCAGGGTCATTTCCTCTAGATCTGCGGTGGCGCTGCTGGTGTTCTGGTTGGGGTTGTGTTAAATTTGGGTATCAGTTCCGGAAGTGTAGTACAGCTATTGTGACTATGTTGGTTCTGCAAGGCTTCCTTCCCTGAGGCAAGTCTCAGCGGTTTCCTCTTTAATGCTGCCACCATCTTATTTGTGGAGCTGAGGCTCCTTCGGAAAACCAACAAAGACAGAGGAGTGGCACGTGCTTTTAGATTTTAGAGAACACAAACTGGTCTTTTCTTTTTTTCTTTTTTTCGAAAGGGTCTGGCTATGTAGCCCAGGCTGGCCTCAAACTCTCACGGTGATCCTCCTGCCTCAGCCTCCTGAGTGCTGGGATTACAGGCATGCACCAACATACCCAGTTTAAGATTTGTTCTTAAAGACTTGAAAAAACCAAGACAGGGGCTGGGGATTTAGCTCAGCGGCAAAAGCGCCTGCCTGGCAAGCACAAGGTCGTGAGTTCGGTTCCTGGTACCAGAGAAAAACCAAAAAAAAAAAAAAACCAAGACAACCATAAGGGCAACAAAACCAAACTGATATACAGAGAAATTCCAGTGGACAAGCGCTCAGAGTATGCCTATAATCTCACTCTAGAGTCCGTTAGAGGACTCTTTCTCTTCTTTATTTGTAGAAGTGGAGATGATTACAAAACCTTCAGCCTCAAAGTCGCCCCCTCCCCTTTGAAAAGGCCCTCTTGCAGGATAGATGAGGCACCTGCTACTGTGCACGGCAATTCTGGAGGCATTTTACCCTAACAGGTGAAGAGAAAAGTCTCTTAAAACCGAATTTTATCAGGGTGATCACAAGATAGAGCTACACAGGGTGACGCATACCTGAAATCCAGCAAGCAAATATTTTTAAATGAAGCTTTTCTTCTTTAATTTTACTCCCCCCCCCCATTTTTGGAGTTTTTTGAGAAAAGGTCTCAACATGTAATCTGTGCTGGCCTACTCAGTGCAGTAAGTAGCCCAGGCTCCTCCTGCCTCAGCTTCCCACATGCTAAGGTTACAGCCGCGTGCAAGCTTTTCTTCTTTCCACCTAGTTTAGAACTAGAAAAAAGGTTAGGTAACTGTTCACTTATTCATTATTCATCCTTCAAGTCACTCATGTAACAAAAATTAATTGAATGTCAGTCATATTGTTGTAGGCAGCTGGTTAGATAGAGATATTATAGACAGTCAGACAGGGCCAGGCCCTCCAAGAAGCCAGTATGGAAGACAAGATACCTTGCAAATGGAGACGTACTTCCTGTGGGCCAGCCGCAAAACAAAAGATTAAACAAACACACCCACAGACCTCCCTAAGGATGGACACCAGGGATTGGTATTCTAAATAGGTAGTGATCACCTTCAAGAGTCACGGACCCCACCCCTATGGGAAAAGCTCCTGTTCCGTCCGTTTGCTACCTGACTCACTTCACCATTTGATCCTGATTTACTCAACTTTACCTGAACAGTTCTGATCGGCTGACCATGGTTTTGTTCCACCTCATGCCCACCTGTGATTTCCCATTTTACCCACACCCTGGACATGCCTCACCTCGTGATGTTGCTCTATAAAATCCCTGGAAAAGACAGGTTTCCTGGGCAACCCACTCGGTCCCCCTTCTGTCTCTCTCGGACAGAAGCTTTCTTTCCCTCAATAGATATATTCTGCTCTTAACCCCCGTTGTTCCTAAAATTCATTCTTCGATTTTAGAGAACACAAACTCGTCCCAGATATCGTTCAGGTTGGGAGTTTTTCTCTCCTGTATCAATATCAACGCTGAGGATGTAATAGAGAACCAAACCAGGCAAGCTC